GTGCACCTGATGCCCCTGTGTCACTGATGAAGACACTGAATAGCACTGGCCCTGATACAGACCATATCCTTCATAACATAACTGAAGATTGTCATACTCAAATGTGTCCTTAAGGCAACATCTTTTCTGCTCTTACCATTAAAGACAGCTACAGAAGTTACCCAAACAACTTCTCCTTTTCTAGTCTAAGATAGAATAATACTGCTCCACTTTTCTCTCTATTCATCTCTCATTCATTCCTGCAACTGGGCAGTAAGGCATTGTACAGTGATGCAAAGGAATTAAATAATGATTCTTAAGGACTCTAGATCAATTTTTCTGTTGTATATCACTGTGAAGGCACTCTTGTTTTCTCCAGGTTGCAAGAATGAGGATGCACTAATGACATTTCATACAATATAACGGAAAATATTTTTTAAAAACACAAATTAAAGGCAAAATGTTCTCATACGCTTTGTGAGGACTGAAAACTGAGTACAATGGAACAAAACCACACATCAGGAAAGCTTTAGCTTCCTACCATCTCCATCTCCCATATACTAAGAATTGCACATTCTGAGTATCAGTGTGAAGTTCCCATCTGGTGTTTCAGAAGTGAATGGAGAAGGCTGTCAAGACAGAAAGCTGATGTAATCACAAAAATCTTGTTTTCTTAAGAGGACATATTTTAAACATCTTATTCAAAGTCTATCAGACACTTACACTTAAAATTTTGCCTTTGAACATCAACATTTCGGCAGTCAATAATAAAATAATATCAATAACTAATAAAAATCTATCAATAAAAATAAATAAATAATAAACTAATTTAATATAGAGGCTAGAAAACAAGAGTGTAAGAGAGGAAATATAAAACAGGTGCTTTGGACATGGGAAGGGAACAGTGAAGAACAGCAGAGATTGGAGAGGGACAGAGGTGGAGTCCCAGCCAGAATGACAACATCATTCCAAGCACAACTGCTGAGGCTACATTCCTGGGAACCCCAGAGACCCACACTGGGTCTAGTGCATGGATACTAGAAGCAATTCTCACAAAAATGGCAATGAAAAACAAGCTTCCCAGCTGCTCCTGGAAGAAGGTATGCATTCAGAGCACTCCAGCCCCCAAAATCCGGGCACAACAAAGGGAACCAAGGCACAGACAAAGACATTCAACTCTTACATAGTTCTTGCCCTTTGAAAAGAAACACACCCTACAGCAACAGCAGTATTTTTAAGTCATATACCCCTTCAAATAAATGATCCTAATCTTATCATGAAACATAATTAAATTGAAATATCAAGTCCCTTTCATACAGACACTTACAAACAAAGCGAACTAACTCCAGGTTTCTGGAATGGTTTTAAACAATTGTACTATTTTTATTATTTAGGTAAGTAATGTTCTCTTCCAGGGATCATCTTCACAGCAATTTATTTTAGAATGCTTTTTTAAAAATACTATCATATTTCAAGTGGTGTAAACAGAGGACTGAAAAGGGGGAAAACAACAATTCAGAATCTCCTGTCTAGAAATGCATAGGAGAGTAGTGCCCTGTTTAAGTCAGCTGGTTATGAGACCTATCTCTCACCTTCTCTCAGTTTTCAATCCCTTAATTGTCTTGTCCCAAAGCCACCAGTGTTTCACAACCCAGAATCCCCAAAAACTCCCATCTCAAGCCTTTCCCCCTTTCAGCCCAGACCAACAGTCTTTTGACTTCCCCATTCCCTCTAGCTGTTTACTAAATCCTCTATCACATGTTTCTGTCTTTTCTGCCTCCATTTTCCCCTTCCTGGTTCAGACCAAATCCTGGTCTGCCCAAATCCACGATATCTATCATTCTGCAAATCACCTTCCATACTGCCAGCCTACTCTGCAATGCCTGCATTTCTATTTATTCAATCTCTTTGCTTCAAATCCACACCCATGCCTAGCAGCTCAAAACCAGGTGTCCTGGTTCCAGGTCCCTCAACAATAAGCCCAAGCCTTTCTTGGCTCCTCCAGTTTTCCCTGTAGAGGTACTTGCTGTCATACTATTATGCTTTTATTGTACGCCAATACCTCTTATTGCCCTTCAGTGTCATGGCAGCCCTGTCTTCTCACAAAACCCCTTGGTCCTTGTTGCAAAACAGGCTTTAAAAGTCAGGCTGGATGAAAAAAGTAATCAGAATGACTCTTTGATGACAGAAGAGTAGAATGCATCTAGGTTAAAAAAAAAAAAGCACAAGTAGTAACTTGTATGCGTTAGTTATGTCCATCAGGCTTTGCAGCTACATCTGAACTTTTTAAAACACTGCTTTTTCAAGTGTGACTAAAATAATGGTCTCAGCTTAGAATTACTATGTGCCATAAATTCTGCACTGAAGAGGCAGATTGCCTTAAAAACTGTCCTAAACTAAATCTGAATTTTCATACTAAACAAGCTTCAGATTTCATTTCTCCAAAGGAATCATTTAAAAAACATGGCCAGGAGAACCACAGTAGAGAGCAGAAGTCTAGAAATGAAAGGACACAGGCTCAGGAATGAAACTCGTTGTCAGATAGAACTCCAGCTCTAAACTTTTCATTGACTCATGAATTCCTTTCTACATGGATCTTTTTCATGATGACAGAAGATGACAAATGCAACCCAAGCCATGTTTCTATATTTCACTACTGAACCAAAGCCTGTAAAAACACTGCATAGTTAAACACAAAATATATCAGTCAGAAAACCTACAATGTCTAGTAGGAGCTGAGGTGTCTATTATTTGCTTGTCACAAAGAAGGAAATTAGCACCTCCATTGTCCTACTACACATTTCCCACTTCTTCTGTGGTTAATATCTTGGAAGAACTCAAAAGCAAAAAGCAATGCAGACACATTTATTATAACCAACACATTTCCAGAGCTATCCCTGTACTTCATAGCCTGTTTCAGACTTGAGTATACTGTTGGGAGAACAAAGACTGTGTGTGAACAATTTCCTCTGCATTTCTGTAGGCCTTGCCTTGGCATAGCTAAAGCACAAACAGTAAAAGAAACTGCGTAGCTAACATGGCTTCAGCCCTTGAAGTTAGAACAAAGGAGGATCAGTGTCAAGGTGAAGGTGGAGTTTCAAGAGGGTAAACGTGTCCCCTCAAGATCATATGGACACCTGTTGTAGTCCAATTAGCACTGGACAACAAAGTATGTTTTTCTTATGTACCCAATACCGTTGAAGAGGTGATCATGCATCGGGATGTAGAAGCAGTATATAATGAGTATCCTTCTTGTAATAAACGGACATTTTGTTGATCATATTGGTCTTAGCACAATCTGTCTCTATCCCCTCTGCCGATAGTACACCTACACTGATTGGCTGACGGCTAAACAGGTTTCAGTTGCCACTGGAATATGCTCCTTTGTCACTCAAAACAGCTGTGCCCAGGAAGCTACACTGCCCTTCCCATGCAGAGCTTTGTGAATTCCTCTCTGAATTCCCCTTTCTATTCTTTCTAATTTAACTAGCAGTAATTAGCCATAGTAGGAATAGAGAAGTTTAAAAATCATTTAATAGCTACAAAAATGGCTGCAAGAAGACACCTTGGTTCCTCCAGATAGACCTAAGAAACCCAAGCAGTAAGAGCAGAACGGGTAATGAATGGTTTTAGGGAAAAAGTCCATGAATTTATTTTTAAAAGTTCCTTTCTGAAAAGACTGAAACGAAACAGATGAATTTCAAATTTTTTCCCAAATATTTGTTTAGATACTAACTTTTATCCCTGGAGGCAGTTTCCATCATATATTTAGCTTTCAACAAGTCAGCATTTCCTGAATGAAAATGTTTCACTACCAAGTTCCTTTGAATAGTTTTATCAACAAAGTTTAACTTAAAACCAGCTGAGAACCAGACTGACAGCTCTGAGTATCACCGGACAAGCGAACAAGAACAATTTGCCTAAATAGGATCTGGCCTGGTACAAGATCAGTCCTCAGCATCACTAGTATATTCAGTGCTCACATTCTCTGCTGAGTCCATCAGCATGAAGGGGCTGTGCTTTTGTGACTTATCCGTTAAAAGGTGAAGACCTATCTGCAAAGAAAAATCATTCAGCTTCCTAGAGTTATAAATGCATCCCGCATTTTGAAATAAACATACTGCCAATCATTTAACCAGATATTAAAAATCCAAACATATATCAATAAAATTGAAAGAAGCAAAAAGAAGCAAATAGCAGCAGCTGTTGCAACTATTAAACACGCCTCAGAAAACTTAGCAAAACATAAATTTAAAACAATACTTCCAAAACCAAAGAATTAGAACAAAGACATTTAAATTGTTTTTCTCCAGCAGATAAAGAGAAAAAAAATTATTTTCCAAGGTAAAATGCCTATTCTGGAGAATCTCCAGTTGGCAGCTTAATTAACTAAGAAATGTCCAACTTGAACACCTATGATGAGTACAACTACAGTATATTATGAAGAAAAAAAGGTCTATGTGTGTAGCCATTTAGGACATAACTCAAAAAGAAATATGAAACTAAGTGGAATTCTACCAGAACTCAATGTAAGTTTGATATATATCACCATGTTTAACAAAAGGATTATCATTTCCCATGTTAGTAAGTACTTCATTATGTCTTTATAATGTTATTGGAATATAGAATTTACATCAGAACCCATTCCACAGACTTTCATTCCCAGCACTGTGATGACACACTGGAGCAATGAGGAAGCAAATTGCATGGAAGCCTAAATCTGAAAAGACTTGGTTTTACTGTTTAACAAGACAAGGCATGGATTTCATTTTTATAACATATTTTCTAATTCTCTGCTCAGTCTCACTGTCTCCTATAAAAGGACTTCAGCAACATTCTTGTAATCTCACAGAAAATTAAAATTTTGGTTACTGTAAACACTCCAAAACAACAAGATGACAGAAATCAATTTTCATGAGATTTACTCCTTACAGCATGTCTCATCCCAGCCCAGTGCTGACACAGAAGCCTGCAACAAACTTCTCTCTTGCACAGGGACTCCAGCTTTAGTGCTTACATACCTGCTGTGTAAGGAGACTGACGTGGCTTGGTGGGGAATACTGACAGGCTGCTTGCTTTTCTGTCAGCTGATGCAGTTCTGCTGCTGCCATACTGGGGCCGTGACACTTGCTCTGGGAAGAAGTATATTCGGCTTCTTTTTGCATCCTGGCTGAGCCCACACGCTGCCCACTTGAACTGCGATGGCACAAACCTATCAAACAAACATTTTGATATGCTTACCCAGCAGTATGTCAGACTCAGCCTGCTGATCATAGAGACATAAAAGCAGATATGCCACTAGGAAGAATACAGAATACCTCTATTCTTCATGGGTATTGCCTCTATGAGCAATTATCAACTCCAGACCTGTATTCCCTTTATTATAATATATCTAGTGGCACCCAATTCCAGAGAACACTGGCTGGTGTTACATAAGTTAAATTTATAATGTTTTTCCTAAAGGCAAATGGATCTCTTCAAGTAAGCTCTTCAGCTGGAAAGTAAGATTTATTTTAATGCCAGAAAGCTCACAGTCTTCAACTTCCTCCTGAGGGGAAGAGGAGAGGCAGACACCGATCTCTTCTCTGTGGTGACCAGTGACAGAATCCGAGGGAATGGCCTGAAGTTGTGTCAGGGGAGGTTTAGGTTGGATATTAGAAAAAGGTTCTTCACCAAGAGGGTAGCTGAGTGCTGGAACAGGCTCCCCAGGGAAGTGGTCACAGCACCAAGCCTGATAGAGTTCAAGAAGTATTTGGTTGATACTCTCAGGCACGTGGCGTGACTCTCAGGGTTGGTCCTGTACAGGACCAGGAGTTGGACTTGATGATCCTTGTGGGTCCCTCCCAACTCTACATATTCTGTGATTCTGTTGTTATTATATATAGCAACCCTAGTGAACATGTGCTGACCCTGACACACAACCTAAAACAAATACATACCATCATTCAAAATACAAAAAATTAGGTATTATCAGAACCAAGCTCTTAGCCTATATGTGGTTCCCAAAACTTTTCAAATAGATTATAGTCTGCACCCAAATTCCTACAGTTTCTTCTACCCTTCACGTTCCTTACACTCTAAATTTGCATTGTTCAACTGTGTTCTACCCCAGCATGATAGATGAGAAGTCTCTAAATCGTGGTTTTAGGATACTCTTGGATATGGCAGTGCTGAAACATCCTAGAGAATGAGTTTCAGTAACAAGTCACTCAGATCTTTCTTTTTTGGAGGTCTTGACACGCTTTTAAGTATTCAACACCTACAAGGTTTCATTACAAGATTTCTATGCTTGATAGACAGCCAAAGAACTAAGAACAGCACATAGAGAGGACAGGGCTTCTGCTAATAAAAACAATATTAAAATCACTAAAATCATTTAAAATCACTAAAGTGAAATTATTTCAGTAATATAATAAAGAAAACATACAATATTTAATTTCTCAGCTCTTTCTGAACAAGTTCAAAGCACAAGACTGAGGGGAGACCTTATCACTCTCTACAACTACCTGAAAGGAGGTTGTAGTGAGGTAGGGGTTGGCCTCTTCTCCCAAATGACAAGCGACACGACAAGAGGAAATGGCCTCAAGTTGCACTGGGCAAGGTTTAGATTGGATATTAGGAAAAATTTCTTCACCAAAAGGGTTGTCAAGTACTGGAACAAGCTGCACAGGGAAGCGGCTGAGTCACCATCCAGGGAGGTATTTAAGACACGTAGATGGGGCTTTTAGGGACGTGGTTTAGTGGGGGACTTGGTAGGACTTGATGAAGGAATTGTTGGACTTAATGATCTTAAAGGTCTCTTCCAACCTAAATGATTCTATGATTGCCTGTTCATCTGGTCAATAAAAGGGTATCTCTGGCAAAACAAGGGTTGCATCCTGCAATCCTACTTCCTGTGAGAAATTTAGCACCATTCAACAAAATTCAATTCTGGAAACATAAAATTTTTACCTACTCCAGAACATCTCTGTACTCAACTAGCAGGTTATTATGCATCCCAGAACACTCACCGACTTTTGCAGAAGATGGTCGGGACAATCTTTGGCTGTAGATCTGAGCAGCTCTCTGAAAAGACGAGAATGGGCCAATGGTGTAACTACCAGGACGACAACGATGTAACCCTGCAAGGCTACAAGTCTCACTGGACACTGGGTTTGTGAAGACAGAAGAGCTGTCAGGAGCTGTGCTCTGCAAGGAGGGTAGTGGGGGTGGGGACTGAATCAGCCTGGGAGCAACTGGAGGAGCCGGCAATGAATGGTGACCATCCACCTGTGAATTTTCAGAGGCTGCAGGCTGAGATGGTACCCAGGAACTGGTACTTCTCTGGAATGTTGCACCAGAAACAGAGGAAGAAGCACTAGAACGGCTGCATCGAGGTAATTTCACTTCAGCATTTAAAGAGAAGGTGGGTCCTTCTGGAACTACAGAAAGATAATGAACGCACTATATGAGAAAAAGCTGCTTTTTAAATCCTTCCATAATATCAACACACATATGCCTCTATTCAGACACACTGAAGCCAAAATAACCTTATCTACCAGCAGACAAGAAAAGGCTCTACATGATAAATATCCTCTTTCAAGGCCTGCCATATTTAGATCTTCCCCCAACAGAGAGGCAGCTAACTCTTACCTAGTGCCCACTTTACAGTATCTTCTACTGCATTTAAAAGTAAAACCTGAAGAATCTTCCCCAAAATTGGGAATTTGAATCTCTCAGTTTGAACCCAAAGGTTCCAACCTTTGTCTAAAACTGTATTAAAAACACTATATGCCTTTGATTTTTTTTCTTGATGATGATTTAAGCCAGTTCACTTACAGGTTGATTTAATTTCTTTGGGTTTATAGCCTTTTAGTGCTCCTTCTGCAGGCAGATCTGCAACTGAACTTTTGGGATGATCACCTTTTATTTTTTCCACCACCTCAGGATGCTCTATAACAAAATCAAGGAGTTAGGATGTAAAACATTGCACACTGTGGTATCATCATCAGAAGACTACAGAATTAACCTTACCATAATAGACTTTCTTGCTAATATTTCCTGTAGACCACGCAGCTTTATTGATGACAATTGAGCTGTCAAGTATAGTAGTGTGGACTACTGGATATATGTCTGGCACTGTTCCTGCTTCCATGAAATGCCTAATCAGGCTCAAATATACAGTTTCAGCCCTCTAGTCAGTATGCTCACTGTAGGCAGCACAATTCAGGCCTTGATTTCTTTCATCCCTTACTTTGATTTCAGAATTCTCTGTTCATTTTAATTCTTATGGGCTTCAGTTCGCACATTTTCATTTCAGTCATGCCCCACCATATTTAGTTCCTTATAATTGCCAGTCCAGATTCATTCCATTTCACTTCAGGCAACAAAGTTAGGAGTGCAGTTACCCTAGTCTTCACATAACAGTGAGTTAAAAAGAAAAAGATATGCAACCTCAAAACCGAATAACATTATGGAGGGGTTGTTCTTTTTTCAGACAAGTTAAACCGGATTTGTCTTCGCAACATCATCTCAGAACTGCCTGCAAAACTTACCACCTCGGGGCTGCTTCTCTGACTGGTGACTGCTGTTCCTGTGTTTTGTGCTTGTGGATTTTGCTCCTAGGAAGATACTTGCTGATTTGTTTTTGTGTGTGTAAAATGTCAGTACTTCCTCCAGGTCACTTTCACTACAATAAAGAGAGAAGAATGGATGTAGAGTGAGGATGCTACACTTTTTTGCATTCATGTAAAAGACAAGAAGTGATAATGAGACTCAAGAGGTGAGTGGAAAAAAAAGGTGAGACCAGACAAGCTAATGCCTTGCTCAGTTCCGCAGGGTAAGAGCAGAAGGAAAGCAACATGCCTTGGCTAAACCTGAGAATCCCACTGAAATGCCATCTTCTTATGCAGTAGAAAATTCAAGCCTTCCCAGGATAAATAAAGAGCAAGTGAACCAAACACATTTGGGGAGATCAGGTCAACACGAGAGATTCCATTCACGGCTAAATTTGTGAATCTTCCCCAGGTGCTCTTTAGAACAAGCAGCTATCTTTTCACAAGAGAACTCAGCTCAGCCTCTGTTTTATATTCATCATTAGTAGTTTCTACTCAGCAGAGGGGGGAGAAGAGGAAAGAGAAGGAAAAAGCTTGTTAATAAGCCAAAACTGCAGGACAAACAGAGCAGGTAATATTTTTGTGAAACTTAGAAAACTTGCATATGTTTCTCATTTTCTTTACAAGAAGAAAGTACAACTGCCCCAGTATCCTAAACACCTATTGGTCCCAAACCAGTATCATTTACTTGGCCATTCTTATTAGAGCTTATGCAAGTTGTAATTCTAATTGTTTTGATTAGCTTTCCTTTTGCTTTATAGTGTTGCCTCAACACTACTGAATGGCTATATGGCAGAGCAAACACCAAAAGCACAAAGTACAGTGCCAGTAACACTACAAGAAAACATAAAACAGGAATATAAATTAGAATAGTAACAGTTAGAATCCTTCAAAATATCCTCTGCATATCACATGTATAACTAGTCTTAGCTAGCCTGAGCTTTGGTAAAAGCAATGTCTAAAGCTGATACATTGCAGTTTGGACCTTCAGGGCATGCTGCGAAGTTCACCTTTTCTCCCAAACCAATGAGAATAGAGGTGAAAAGGAAATGTAAGAATGAGAAGTTGTTGGTGAAAAGGTGCTGTAAGCTTTTAAAGTGAAGTTAGCAGTATAAGTATATGCTTTTACAATGCACTAAGGACATTTAGAATCAATGGTCATAACATATGTGTAACTAAACACAATGCCATCCATGTGGTATCAAAGTTAGAGAGTCAATGAGACAATCTCAATTAAGAAGCAACATTTTTCACCCATTTTCTCCACTGTACTGCAGAACAAACACTCAAAGTGGAAATCTATCCCCTCTGCTTTGTTCCAAATGACTAGCTCACTGATTTAAGCTTCAAGCACAGTGCCAAGTAGTGTCAGATACCAGAGTTTTCAAACATACCTGATACTTAATAAGAAACGGAAAGATCACCAGAAATTGCCTGATCATTGGCAAACCATTCTTTATCATTCAGGCAAATGATCTAGCAAAAATCTCCATCCTCAGCCTAGATTGTGCATCAGGCCACAATGGCATGACAGCCAATAACATGGAAACAGAAGAGTATGCAGTTCTGTCCCATGCAGCCATCTCTTAGCTTTTCTGACAAAAAGGAAAATGACCTGCACTAGGACACAACAGACATTTTAGTGGCCAGAAAGGTCAGAGGAGCAAGAGCATGCCATAGGCCTATGTAATATGCATTCTAGCTAGAGGAGTAGATCCTGTGGTGTACGGTAGTCAGACATCTTTATCCAAAAAGCAACAAGATTTTTCTGGGAGCCTATAAATCTGTTAGAGTAATGACTCCATCAATTATATTAGCAAAAGGTAAAATTACTTGTTTTCATGAGAATGTATCATCAAGAGAGACTGTGAAATCTCCTGAACTTAGTTAAGACATCTCAGATATCACCCACTTCTAATCATTCACCAAGAGCGCTATCTGAACATAGAAAAAGAAAGAATGGTTTCATAACTGGTCATGAAAAAGCAGCACTGACCATCAATCTTCCAAGAGAAAACAGATGAGCATAAAAACGCAGGTAAACTCTACCTGTCCAGATATTGAAAGGGGTATCCTAGTTAGGACAGCTGAGACCAGTTCATCACTGGATAGGTGTAACCCAAAACTGTGTATTCTACATCTTCCATGCCATTTCCCAGAAACTGTTGTCAATAGACTATTCGAACCCTCTGCCCAGAGCCCCCCTGACTCCTCAGGCTATAAACTAGGTGCTAAGAGGTCTGCCAGATAGAAGGGTGTTTTTGTCCTCACGCCCATTGATGAACTCCCCGCCCTGAGGGAAGTACTGAGCATTCCTGCCTGAACTGGAGAATATATAATCTTGGAGTCTTGGGACTTTTTTAACCACTCGTGGGATCCAGAGGAAGACTGCAGACCACCATCCTCGACCAGACTGCAATCACCACTTTTGACCACACTGCAACAGCACTCTTGACCAGACTGCAACAGCACTCTCACCAACAGGTTTTTCCCCTCTCCCTTTACTTTGGACTCAGGGGGCCCAAAGAACACCACTCTGTTCATGCCCCAGGGTGCTGGGTTATACATTTGGGTTTTGTGGGTTAAAACCAATTGTTTGTCTGTATAATCGTACTTATTGTATTATTTTATTAAATTGTTATTCTGACTTATAATCTCTCTTTTGGGTTGAGTTCATTTTCCCCTGCTGGTTTACCTTTAAACCAGCACAAGGGGTCATTGCCCATATAAATATGTAATACATGGGTTAAATAATGGAGTCAAGAGGAATTACTTTTAGTGCTCAAGAATCAGAGACTTAGAAAAAGTAATTCCAGTTCACTGAAGAATTTCAGACCTCTCCATAGTCAGATGGCTGTAATAACACTTGGTTTTCATGCAATGCTACAGGCCTTAAGGAATACTTCACAGAATCACAGATTATGCTGATTTAAGAGGGACTCAAAAGGATCATTGCCTCCAACTCTTGGCCCTGCACAGGACCATCCCTAAGAGTCACACCACGTGCCTGAGGAGTATCATCTAAACACTTCTTGAACTCTGTCAGGCTTGGTGCTGTGATCATTTCACTGGGGAGTCTGTTCCAGCACTCAACCATCCTCTTGGTGAAGAAACCCTCTCTAATATCCAACCTAAACCTCCCCTGACACAACTTCAGGCCATTCCCTCGGATTCTGTCACTGGTCACCACAGAGAAGAGATCAGTGCCTGCCCCTCCTCTTCCCATCATGAGAAAGTTGTACACTGCAACAAAGTGTCCCCCCTCAGTCTCTTCTCCAATACTTAACTATTTTCAAAATGTGCTTCCTACTAGACTCTTTTAAGGCAGACAAAGCTCAGAGACAGAAAATGCTGCTTTTTCATTGTGAAAGTAACTGTTTGCACTGAACTGCCTTAGCAGGCCAAATAAGAGGCCTAACTCCCATCCTTGCTCATCTCAAAGTCCAGACCTGGAGACTTCCTGAAGAGAGGGAGCAAGCATAAGAGAAGAAACTTAAGCGTCAGAGCCATAACTACTGTTTGGCCTCAGCAGCTCAAGATTATCTGAGCAGCAATTCCAGTTTCATTCTCCTTCCAAAGTATTGCCGTATTTACTCCAGTGTCACAGAAAAAGAAACCATTAGTTCACCAGCATCCATTTGAAATTTACACAGGCCAGGGCAACCACTTTGGGAAGCTACTTAATGGTCAAAACATCTATTGTATGTCCTTCTCTATGCAACAGACACTGATGTTACAAGTGAGGTTAGGTTGCTGGAAGGAAGATAAGAGAAAAGACAAGTTCTCTACTCCCCAGCAGGAAGAGGTCCTACAGTCAGTAAAGGTATCTAAAGGCCTTTAGATCCATCAAATCATTTTTAGAATAACCTCATCACCTTCAGGGCTTGGAGATCCTTTATCAAAGCAAATAAAATCTATTCTTACCTTGCTTTGGTAATAAAGTTCTGAAAACCTTCAGGATTCACTCCCTCCTCCTCCTCTTCCTGTTTCTTTTTTGATCTTTTCTGAACCATCTGCTCCGTTTCCTGTTAAAAGCAGTATCAGTAAGTGTCTCTCTGTTCCATGGCATATCTACAGCTCCAAGAATACAAAAAACAGTTCCATGGGATCTAAGAAAAAAGAACGTCAACTCCAAAGAGCCAAATTATAAGTATTTCACTACGCGCAAGAGCATGAATAAAAAAAGAGAGCCCCAGTGACAGCACCCTAAGCATACACTAAACTCTTAATTCTTCCACCTGACATAATTTATTTGCTGAGAAAAGATCAAGCCTTCATAAATATGTGCTGTTCCTTCAAATACACTCTTTGCTGAGACATAAGGGAGTATGGAGGAGAAAAAAAATTAAAATCATTATTTACGGATATTAGGTCCCCTCTCTACTTTTGTTGTTTATGTCACAAATAGAGTTCCTCAAAACAGCTTTTATTGGAGCATTTGTCCCAAAAGTAGACAGATATTCAGGAAGGAGGGAAAAAAAACAAAAAATTATAATAAAGAAACTGAATCAAGGATGTCTACTGATGAATCCACATTTTCCACTGTAAACAGTATTTCTCTTGAGTTAATCTCTTTAGTCATGCAGCCAATTGCTGAGGGCTTATATACATACCAAAACCACACTGCTTTAGCAAAAACTAAGAAAGTAAAACAGTACAGCCTGTGGCAAACATGCACTTATACACTAAAATATACTGGAGTAAGTGGTAAGCCTTTGCACATGAAAATGAGAGCAAGCTCTCAGATACAAATGATCTATTTTACACCAGTAGAACTGGCTGACACTAGTGGTTGTACTAAAACAAATATTTTTATTCATTAAAAAAAAGCTTCAGGCCTGTCTGAATTACCAATACCAGTTTAAAAGCTATCTCTGGCCAGATCTCCACTTAATTTCTGCCTGCTGGTACCCTGAGCATTCCCAGAACAAAACAGTCAGATACATCTTTCGAAAGATAACTCAAGACAGGGAAGAAAAAATCAATATGGAACATGTCTCTACCCTTCACTACTTAAGTAACTCTCTGGACAATGATACTTTTTACTTAGTTTGCTGGAGGTAGCATTTTTTTCTTCAGTGTCATTACAGAAGATACATAGTGGCTAGTAGGAGTCCCTACTAAATCTGAAGTTATAAGTCAATGATAGAAGTCTGTTTGCTGGAATCAGACACCAAAAAACCTCACAGCCTAACAGTCTCTCAGTGGCTTAAACATGTATGCCCCAAAACATCAAGTGATATGTTCTCACTTGTTCTGAGAAAATGTTTATGCACTGATTTATTACCAGTTGCAGAGCTTTATTTTGTGAATTTACTCAAGAGTTAGCAGAAAATCGTAATGTTTGAATGCAATTTGAGTGGAAATTATATTCAAAGCAGCTGCATTCTTCACTGACCACAGAGCCACCCAAGTGTTTTGTGGTTACTCCTAACACAGTAATTCAGTGAGCATTAGGCATACAAGGCACTCTCTGGAACAGAGAACCTTGCTTAGACAGATCAAGTTACCAGATGTCAATTCTGACTAGCTAATGTAAGTGAACATCCTCTCTCCTAATGAGTAGAAGCTTGGAGGCCTCAAAGCAAAATTTCAATTACACTTGTTCTAACACTAAAGAAATGCCAGGGGGCAAAGGAAAGGGGAAGCTGCCCTTGCAAAGCAAGGAGTAACATGAGACCACTATGCTAAGAACAGCATCTTCTACGTCTAAAGATGTGCAAATTATTTAAATTATGACCTACATGTCCTTAACACTGAGCACACAGAGTCCCTCACTACAGATAGGTAGCAGTCCCTCCATATACCAAACAAATAGTAAAATACATATTTCATAATGTTCTGTACAAAAAAATTATCTCTAAAGAAGCACCATACAAATAAGAAGTGGGAAGAGCCATTACAAAGCACTAGAATCGAAGACAAGGCAAAGAAAGAGCAAACTGCCAATTAAATTAGCCTTCATTTCTGCACCTTTTTTTATGCATATGATTACTGGACTGCATATATAATGTACTAATACTGTTGTCTATCTGACAATTTGAACAGCAAAGTACCATTACTGGATGCACAGCTGCAAGCAGGCCGCATAAATGACAGAACAGTGCCTTTGATACAGCCTTCAGGAGACACTTTAGTAAAAGAGAACAGAAACCAAAAGAGCTACCAAAAGAAAAATTAAGAAAAAAATTAGTCACCTTGTTATAACAGATTATGAACTCGCCCAGCTGGCGAGCCAGGATACGACGACGATCATTTAATCCTAAACGACGGCTGGGGAGCAGCAACCTCAAGGACTGACGGAGATTGCTGGCAGCTCGCTTCAGAAAGCGGATCACCAGCTCCTGTAAGCAAGAGAGATGGAGTTAACAATGGGCCATCTGCAAGATGTGGGGAGAAGAGAATAGAGGTACTACAGCAGCTAATGAGTGGCAAGAACAAAAGATATCTCCTGAGAAAACAAGACGAAACTGGCAGACAAAAGCATTCTGCAATACATGTTTTTAGTATAGCTCTACAAAACCAATTTGGGAGAGGAAAACGGTGTGCCTTGCCTGAGGTGGGTCAGAATTTCGAACACTTGAGAAGTGCTCGTTTGAAAAGCATGATAAAGGAAAAAAAAAATAACCAAGCAGCAAAAAGCAGCATCAACAACACAGAACAACCTGTAAATACCTTAGGAGAACATTTCCATAAAAGAACTTGCAATGTGTTAAAGGAGGCCTGTGATAAAGTGTACTGACATAAAACCCTCTCAGCACTACCACAGGGAAGGAGATCTTTGTCAGAAATCCCCACACATCTCCACAGGTATCACTCCACTGGGGCAGCCTCATTTCATCACTTTTTATATATATACTGTTGCCACATTCTCTCCACAGTAATATATGACTACATTTACAGCTGTGTAATTCCAATCCCTCACCATGTCTATTTGACCTCTGGTGGGGAAAACATATGGCAAGGCAGATCCTAAGTCAAGATGCATCTTGTGGGTGTTTTGAACCCTTTCTGTCTCCCCTCTGGATTTGCTTTTGCTTAGGAGCTCTATTAATGCATAAATGAGCAGCCTCACAGCCAAACTATTGGATTTCACAGCTCGCCTCTCACTGCCATTACTCCAGGCTGGTTTGATCTGTTATTTTAAACATTATTTTTCACAGTACAGCAGACAAAGTGACTCTCAAAATCCAGTTTTAATTTCCACTTGGAAAGAGCAGAGGTAACATTTTCCACTGAGTTGACTGATTATTCTTGACATGCAATTTTATCTCTGAACTGCATTGGCTGTTTCCCTGCAACATGCACTCAGTGAAAATACATTTGAATATGCAGAAAGCTCAAGAGCCTATTGTACAAAGCTCTTTTAGGAAGGTTTGTGAGGGTATCTGGGCTTGCAGCACTCTTTAAAATGCATACACATCAAATACAGGGCCTTAAAACACTGCCTAGAAAAATTAATCACTTTTATTTTCTCTTCTCAGTGGCTTTTACTTTAATTTCCTCTACCTAGAATGCAAGGAAGATTCCTAAGTGCAGATGTCCGGATACAGTAAAACATTGCATAGGAGAAAAAGCTTAACTGGGTCCTGTTCCATTTGAGTAGATGTATATTTTGTTTATCGCAGCAGAAACCAGATCCTGACAAGTCATCTTAAAGAATCTTTAAAAGAAGAATTCAAGAGCAGGTAAGCTCAGAAATCAATGGAGGAGAACCAGCAAAACATCTGAGCAGTGTGAATGCCAATCACACTCCAGTCACTAAGAGCTGTGTGCTCTATCATTGCTCTGAGGTCAGTCCACAGTCCTTCCTTATCTGTATATTAAAAATACAGCACTGGCAGCTGGACAAAGATAGACAACCACCATCTCAGTTGGATTTCTATTCTTGCAAAGATGGGAACAGACCTCAAAATTCTCAAGGCAGATTTCAGCTTGGCTTTTCAATCTGGCCAACACAAAGCTTCTTACCATTTGCTCATCCTCTTTGGCAGCCCAGGCAGGATTCTGGATCTGGTCACCAGCCTCCTTCATCAGTCGGAACTGAACATGCTGTAGATAGGCAGAGAAAGCCGTACGGGCTTGCACTTTGCTGTGGGCCAAAAGGATCAATCAGCTATGTTCAGAGTAGGAATGGGAAGAATTACAGCAGTCAGGCACAGCTTATGGTCCAAAGTGCAGTCAGCAAGGACCTCCTAAGGTGCATTAATGCTGATGCTCAAACAAAGGGGGACCCCTTCGCCCCCACCAGCATTTTCAAGCAGACCTTCAGTTCACTAAGATGGGATAGGTATTGCAGGAGATATAAAAGACAGCAGATACTCTTAAGTTCTTAGATCATTTCTAAAAATGGAATGCTCTTCCTGCCTTTTACGGCCTCAGTTACTCTTCTCCAAAAGGCAGTAACATGAACATCAGCAAAACTGTGTATTTTTAAACCAAATTCAAGGCTCTGCTGGGCCTCTGTCTTCACAAACATTTTGAACACCACAACAACAGACCATAAAATAAACAAAGGGCTTGGTACTGGTGCCAGAGTTATAACAAAGGCCCTGTAATTCCCATTAGAAATGAAAGAATTAAATCTGTGAAAGTGAGCTCCTCCCCTGCTGGCCTAGGGACACAAGCCAAATTTCATTGAGCAAGGCACCACTGAAGAATGAAAGAACATCAGCAAAATGTGCTGTGCAGCTGGCTGAACATGTTGGGAAGCTGTGAGCATGAACTGAGGAAAGAACTGGGAGTGACACATCACTTCTCATTCCCTCACAACGGCAGTCATTTTAGCATATGCATTTGTTGTGAGAGAAATTGCTGAAAGCTTTACTTAATTCTGTTCATCATCATCATGGTCTAAACCCTATCCTCAAGCATTCTGCTCTTGCAGTCTCTGCTCTTCTTCATAGTTTTCCCCATAGTTGCTAGAAGCTTTTCATAAGGATGTAGCAGCTTTAGTGTCACAGACAGATTCATTCCTCTTTCTATCACTGGCAATGTCCTAATATTTTCTAATAAATGATCAAGTTTCATCTCAAAATAAACTAGACTTTTGAATCCATTACTTTCCTGGAATATTACTCCAGAATTTACTAGTTTTGTAATTAGGAACCTTCTTTTACTACCCAGCCCAGCTTCATTCATGAGCAGTTTATATGTGCATTTTCTTTCTCCACTTTGAATGTATTTATGCACAGCAATTACATCCCTTCATAGTTTTCATTTTATTAAGGTGAACTATCCACACCTTTCAGTGTCTTCTAACAAAGCACCCACACTGGTGGCACGATGAGATTAACAGCTCACCCCTGCCTGCTCCAGTCACAATTTACCTTCCAGGAATATGAGTGATAGTGTCTGTATACAATACTCCACAGGAAGTCTCAGAAGTATCTCAAGTGATAAAGCCTAAATCACATTTGGTGTTTTTATGTGTGAGCATAAACCTGTGATCAACCAGCATCCGAGATATTTTTCCTTATAATTAATTTCCAGTTGATGAACATCCAGTCGACAGAATTTCTGCCGCAAATTATTAATTCTTAAAAGCATGCCCTTGCAACTTGGTGCTACTGAATTTCATCCTAGTTATATTATTCCTATCCTCAAGGCCATCCAGTTTTTCTCATATTTATTCCATTACTTTTCTCTCATGGTAATAACTCCCAAATCTTTTCCATCATCAAACTTCATTAGCACATTTCTACATTTTGTGTCGTTCTTGTCTTGATTATTAAAATCAGGCTCAGACTGATTCCTGAGGAACCTCACCATATTTTCTCTACTTGTTCTCTGCTTCTTAGGAATATTCACAGATACTTACATGATCCTCATAACTCCAAGTACCTGAGTCTCTCAAATAGCACTAAAAACTCCGTGCAGCAATTTAGCCTTTCTGGTTTACAGTGTTCCACAGAAATCATACAACATAGTAGCACTTAGAGTGATCAATGCATCAATTTTGGTAAGAATTGAAGTTAAAATAAAAGATGTCGGAAGTATCCATACATCTGCTTAATCACCAATTTTTGATGCTTCTGGAAGACCATACCAGGTCAAAGAGAGGCTAAGCAAATGATAAGTTCACAAGAGTCTCAAACTAACATCCTCTGTGGATAGCTGTACCTGTACTATCAACTAAAACCTGATGAAAATACCTGGTTACAATTCCTGTCTTCCAGGAACTTCAGACAACTCCAGAATGCACAGTAGGCCTTGTAACACCTCTGAACTCCGTATGCTGCTAGTCACCACACATACCTTCTTTTCCCCCATGTGTGGAACATGAGGAGAACACACTGAATCCTAGCTAAGAACCAACACTGTCTACATCAGGTCACACTATATCAGAAAAGGCTCTTCTTCTCAGAGGTTTGTAGGGCTGCCAGGTTTGTTTTAGGTGCAACTCAAACATCTCATGATCAGGAGTTCAACTAGAAATTAAGGAGCCTCTGTTATCAGCATCAGTACAATGATACAGTTCTTTGCCTGCACCTGATACTTCTATGACTAAAAACCAAAGAAGGTCCTTGTATAACAGTGCATCTCCTATCATGTGTAGGATATTGAAACCTGAGGTCTTAGATGCAGAAATACATAAATCCCTTTTCATTTTATTTCCTTGGAAATGGCACAGTTGGGGGAACAAGTTTCATTTGACTGTCACTTCTTTATCAGTAACACCCCATGTGTGGAAGATGGAGAAATTTCCTCATCAGCCTGACTAAAGGAGAAGGAAGTCCTACCACTTACAAAAACTGACCAAAACAGGTCTGGTTTCTCTTGAATGAAAATTGCATTACTTCAGCTCCTCTGTTGAACCCACAAGCAGAGCTTTCATCAATGACAGATCAGATGGGGCCAAGCCCAGCACAATCTTGGAACATGAGGTCAACCACAAGCCTTACACATCTCTGTGGGGAATCCCAGCAGTGCTGGGTGCTGAGCAAGATTCTGCCAGGAACATCAGACAGAACTTACATTCTTGGCAGGAATCAGTTCTATATATATGTAGATATAGACACAGCATTGCTATGTTCATCCTCAAAACAGGTTCCAGAGTTTTCCCTGTCAGAAGAACAAATGCCCTTGCCACAGTAAAACATAAGAATAATCCCCAAATCCACTGGATAATCCATAATTTCTCTCAGAAACTAAACTGAGAAAGCAACAACAAGATGCATTTATTTTCTCTACTTTTGGACATTTTTCACAGAAAACATAATACTGCTTCTTGTCTTACATCCTCTTACACAGATATACATGATCAGGCCTTGTTAGCCTTTCTGTCCATCTGCAATTAGACAGTTCTTCTATCCACATTCAAGTGGAGGATCAAACTTCAAAACATCTAGCAGGACCCTGGTTGGTGTTACTCCACAAAATCTCCTCCAGTACCTCTCTTTTTTCCAAGCAATAGAGCCAGGCATCAGAATATACTCTGTTCCACAAAGTCATATTCAACAACATGCAACGAGATGTTTCAGTCATTAGTCACTCTCAAATGACCTCCTAATCTTGCTCTCAAGCAGGCAATGACCTTGAGCAGAAATTATTATCAGAGGTAAAAATTCTATCAAAAACAAAAATGAGAAAACTAATTTTATGGAGAGAAAGCACTGAGATCAGTACTGACATATTCTTACCCAAGTGTTCTTGGAAAATTTAACATATATCTATATCCACTTCATGGCAAATGCAAAGAATGAGAAGACAAAGTTTAGAATTCAGTAGCAGGCATCCTGCATTAAGACAGAGGCATTTCAGAAGTCTGAATTGACAAAAAAACCCAGGTTACATCACCAGATTAAAGAATAGCAATGGAAACTATGAGTTATGCTTTCTACTGATCCAGCAGGTCAGCCATTTAGGTAAACTGTCAGACTTGGCAACAATCTCCCTTCTGTGCCACCGAGTTGTTAAGGCAGCCCACAGTAAGACAAAAATCCAGGCCCCTTTTCTAACGTCTTATCTCTTCACAGTTAAAATGTGGCACTAAAGGTACATACTCTGTATTTTAAACAGTATCAGCTGCAAGTCAAAGCTAAAGGCAAAATGCAGCTATCTCTCACCTCAGGTTTCCATGCTTTTGAAGAATCTGAAGCAAGTTAAACTGAGATTGTGAGTCTAGTTTTTGCAGAAACAGCTTTTCTCCATCTCCAGTTTTCTTGTCAAGTTTTTTTGGCAACCTCTCCTTACAAGCAGTTTTCACCGAGTCAGAGAGCTTTGGCTTGTTTTTCACCTGGGTGTCCGAAACAGAGCAAACAGTTCTATCTAGCTCTTCATCTTCATCTGCATCCACCTCCTCTTCCTCCTCACCTTCTGTGTCTGACTTGAGGGACAGCTTTGTTGATTCTGATGTGCCTGTAGTAGAGGAGAAATCACCTATGCTAGTTAAAAAAAAAAAAAAAAAAAAAAAAAAAAAAAGAAGTGGAAAGGACTTTCCTTTGGTTTACCCCTACACTCTTTTCTGCTAGGACAGAACACCACCATTATAGAACATAATCTGAAGTATCACTGCCCTATATTATCCTTTCTGTCTTTCTGCTTGTGCACTGAACAGTTGAGAAGCCCATTTTCCCAATATCAGAGAAGACAGACCAAGATTCTTGTTTTAACTTTACAAATGGAAAAAAAACCAAAACCACAAAATCAAAGAGACAAAGGCATTTTCCTATATTTTATCCTGGTTCTTACATGTTTACTGGCATGTACTGACCCATACTTAACATATATATACACTCATTTTTTGTAATCTCTGTATCAAATAAACCAAAGCTACAAATCTAAATTTCCACGTGTCAGTAAAGATCATATACCTCAACATAGCAGCAAAAATAATTTTCTAATGTACAACCTCTCCCGTTGTTGCCAGTATCACACAGCTACTAGAAAGAGTTCAGATACTGGCTTCAGGAACAGTCACCTGTGAGGATCATTCACCTCTGTACCCTTTAAAGTTTTTTTAACATCTGCTTGGATAAGAAGGATTTCTCTTTCCAACAGCTTAGAGTCACTGCTATGTAGGAGAACCAATCTGCAAGGTCTCATCTTTCTCTGAAAAGCTGGAGAACTACAGAGGCACATATACAGTTGAATTTTTTACCCAAAATGTAACCACAAGCTCAGCTCCAAGCAAGTACTGATTCCCTTTAATCATACACATGCGATGTGGAAAGGTAGGAATGAAATTTTAGGCAGTATAAAACAAGAAGCTCAGAAGAGGAATGAAGTGAAAACTATTAACACTTGAAACCAGAACAACTCCATTCACACACATTTCAAATGAGTAAGTCTCTTACTTGCTTTCCTTTGACTAGCTGCTCATCTAAAACTCTAGCCATGCATACCTGATGATCTCATCTGTGCTGCTCTAGCCTTGCCATGAAATCGCCGACGCTTCCTTAACTCCAACGAAACAAGCTTTCTCTCATAAAACAGAGCGTGAGAGTCCACAGCTTCCATCCTCATATCCAGCCTTCCATTAAGACCTGCTCTGGGAAGCATAGTACAGAGACATCCCTCAATCTCTCTTTTTACTTCTCTTCCTGATGATACAAGAGACCTAGTAGATCAAATTTCTTCAGGAAAGAAACTTTCTTTCCTGATACAGGGAAGAAATATTTATCATCAGTCTAACTCTGCTCTATTTAAGCCTACAAATGTTTGCAGAGTCTTGCAAGTACTTTACAGAACATCATCTCTCAAAGCCCCAGGATGCACTTATCTACTGTCATGCTTTCATGATTGAATAGTATCTGTCCATCAGCAGCTGGAAATCAGCAGCAACTACAAGGCACAATTAATAGGGAAAACTGAATTGCAAGAGTACAAAATAATGGAGGGGGATGCAAAGAGAGCACATGGACCGCAGTCCAATCATCTGAACCATTTATGTAGATAGCTTGTTCTTCACTGTTTGGTCAGAAATAAGAATTTTAATATAATCTAAGCGGAAAAAGTCAAACTTTCTACAAGTTCTGCCTAAACCAAGGGACAAGGAGCTCTGCCAGATTTCTTAAGGAAAACATACAAGAGTAACAACTTTCTGCCAGCGCACAAAGTTCCAGAAAAGTGCTCTCTATGATTTAAGTGTAAACATCAACAGAAAATTTTTGTTACTTCATTTATCTTTTAGATCTAACAAAGTATGGGTATATGAATATATGGGTATATGAAGCCCAAAACCCCCATGCACTACAGGATCTTTTGAGAGAACTCAATGATGAGGCTTATAAATATGGCAGGAATACCAAAGTGGAAAGAAGAGCAATTTTAAGGTCCAATCCAACATGAGCTCTCCACATATGGGTGTATTCTTTTCTCACTGTATTTATGTTTCTAAAATTATTTTCATGGATTTTAGGTAGAAAAGGTGTTGACACACAGGTTGAAGGATGAAGTTATGCAAATCTAAATTTAGAACAAGTCCTACAAAGTACAAGTTATTTAATTAAGACACCATTTACCGGGATCTTCCAGTGATGAAGTCTCTTTTCATCTTGCCCCTATAAAGGGAAAAAGATCAAAAATTACCTTCCATTCTGTATCAGCCTGGATTAAAAAGCCTACATAGTCTTTCATATGTACAAAGAAAGGACCAAATTTACAGAATCACTTGTGAGTTCTCTGTTAAGGGAGAAAAAAAAAAAAGAGCTCCAAAAGAGGAAATCTGAGCAGCTGTACTAGAACCGATGCTTACATTTGTCAGGCTTAAGTTGGAGAAGGCGTCATTTGGAACTATTCTTTAGACACATCCCTGAATGTACACAGAGAAAAAAAAAATTGTACACTGCTCATGCAGGAAGAGCTTCTGTAAATATTGTGTCCTTTTTCAGCCTCCTTATCCTTACCTGGTAATTACTTTATAGTGGATCTCAAATTTGGGTAAGAAGAACTATTGAGAAGGAAGGGCATTAAACAGAGTGAAAGATACTGCGTACATGTCTCAATGGAAGTTCAGCTAGTGGCGTGAACTGTCTTTTCCACCCGAGCACGGTCCAGAGAAAGAGGCATCAAATCACGCTTGCACAGATCAAGACACAGGGATTCTAAACCATTGGAGGAGTCAATTTCAGTGCTTACTTTACATGAGGACAAGCTCTAATGTAACTTGAAATTTGACACAAAAGGTAAGCAAAGACCTATAATCCCTTCATAGTGAAACCTACGTGCTTAAAGTTTTCTCATGTCTATAGTAATCTTTGTACTCCAATGATTCCCATGACTTGTGCATTGTCCTTTGTGCCTCTGGATTCAGAAGTATAACACGTAAATATGAAAAACCTCCACAGTCACCTCACACGCACAGAAAAGATGAGCAACTATCACCACCCCTGTAAATCACAGACTGATGTTTATAACATTGGATAAGTGATGAATCAATCCTTTTCATGATGTTCATGCCCTTTACCTTGCTCCCAAACAGAAAAGCTTTCTACCTGTCCTTAAACAAACGTGTAGCCAGCATGTAGTTCATTGATGTCTTGTGCTCTAAAAAGGATCTAGAAAAACAAAATTCAGGATTATCAAGACAGAGCTCAACACAATGAAAGGCAGCATAACACAGAAATAAGTGACCTGTAAAAAACATCCCAGAACTGGATTCAGACGACATGCTGTACCATAACAGAAAAGAGGAAAAGAGGAGAGCTATTGTTTTTCAGCTAAAGTTCCTGGTGATGCAAGAGACAGAAAACATTACAGATTGCAAAAATAAAATTAGACAAGTCTAACATAGTATCACTTTCAGAGTGAGTGAGCCCATTTAGGGCCTAATGACAAGAGTACATAGTGTGCAGCTCTAGGATGTAAAAGTAGATAGCCACAATGGATTATCTGAAGGGAAGACACTTTTATTCTAACAGAAAAGCAACACCAGAAGCAATTTTTGACAGCTTTCCATGGGATGCAGTTAGGCAAAGCAGCAGCTGATAAAAACAAGGGATCAGAAAGAAGCTTCCTCAACACTAAAATAAGCTCTACCAAAATTTTCAATATGTCTTTTTGATTACCAGGATGGCTGATCTACATATACCCAACACAGAATATCCCTCAACACAGAGCATTAGTGCTGTCTTATTGGATTGTTATTTTTACCCATAAAGGTCCCATGTTAATGGGGTAGGGAATATCCGGATGAAGCCTCCTCTCCGTTCATTTTCCTCTTTCACTCGCCTAAGAACTTTTATCTGGAAAAAAAAAGAAAGAAAATAGCCAGCAAAACAGATAAAATCAAAAATGAACCATACAAAAATCTCTGACTTTCAGCCAAGGGGCTGGGCACATATGACATCCTTAAGCAATTTTGTCTTGTGTTTAAATTCCAAAGGAGCCTATCACTGCTTCAAGCATACCTGGCATAACTGAGGGCACGGACAGTACCAGCAGTAAAAGCAAGCAATTCTGTTTTTAAAATTATACATCTTCTGTCATGTTTTTCATATACGCGCACTTGCTCTTTGTTGAGCAAATAACCCCACATACTGAATGAAAGCCAAGGTAAATAAAAGCAATATAATAGTCTACTTACCTCCTCCATAGACAGGCCTACCACAGAGCTGCTATGCTTTCCTGTTGCTTTTTCCCTGCCTAAGGGCATCGAGCTTTTAACTTCAGCATCGCTGGCAGACAGAGGACGGGTACGCTGTAGAGACAGTGTGAATCCAGATTTCTCTCTTTTCCTCTCTCTATTTTCTTATTAAAAAACATTACAGTCAAATTCCAGGACTCCATTCCCAACAGGATCTACACTCCAGAGCATCACAGCCAGAATTCACAATTCCACACTCCAGCTGTTAAAGAGTCTGCACCCCAGACAGCACTAAGTGTGAGCATTCACATTATTGGATTTTAGCACAGCAATTCATGCATTGGCGCCAATATTTACACCCCTGGCCCCTTCCAGGAAAACATGAGACATACTCAAAAGCAGCAAAGTCAGGATGTCATACAGAAAAATTCTCACCCATGGGGCACTAGAGCCAGCATCCACAGGCTCCAAATACACTTAGATTCACACATCAATGGTACCAGAAGCCTGATTCTCTCTTCTAATTGTGTAGCTACAGTAGAACAACAGAACTGTAATTCCCTGATGAGATAAATGTTGCAGGGAAAAGTTCACCACCTGTTATTCTTTTGTTACTATACTGCTAGGATGTCAGCTTACTACTTCTTGCACTTAAGAGACAGATCTTGATATGTACATAGACACATCATGCAAATTTGCATAATTATGCAAATTTTTTAAAATTAGAAAATCAATACTTTGCAGACAGTCTCACTAAGCTTATTCTTAACCTGATGTGCAGTCGTGACCAATTCTAACAAAAGGTCAGGAATTCAAAATGTCTTCAAATTATCAGGATTATAAAATCTTCAAATCTGAGCAAGACTGAAATCTTTGAACTTGTTCTCAAGTACTAGCCTTAGGCTCAGTTCATTAAAAATAGCATTTCAAGACTCTAGCTGAGAAGGTCTCAGGCATTTATACCAAATTAAAATTTTCTTTTAGCTCTGTACTGAGCAAAGAATGCACAGAGGGCATTTTTAATCTAGAAAGAAAAAAAAAAATTACAGAAACCTTAAGCTGGATAAGTCCAGGGGAATGTTCCATACTACTCAGGTACAAATAAAATCCATAGCAAGATCAGGTTGCATCTTTATTTGTAAGGACTATTGGAATTGAATTTCATTCTCTCTGTTTCATTAGATATTGCAAGTGGCTATGCAATCTGTAGATGAAGCAACAGCAAAAGCAACAGGCATTGCACTAGAATAGGTTACACTGCAGTGACTGGTACAGAAAGATCCAAAGATAAAACAGACATAGACGGTGCCAGCTGAAACATTGTTAAGTCTAATTAAAACCGATTTAAAAAATAAGAGAAAATTACACAATCTGGAAGAGAAGGTAGGAGACACAAGCATTTGCAGAAGAAATAAAAATGCCAGTAATCAAACAGGTTTGCCTGATGCTGTAGATGATACTAAGTTGAAAGGCTTTAGTCTTTCTTCCTAAGCTTTCCTCCATTTCAAATCCACAGTTCAACAACTTCGCTTCCTCTGGAATCTCCTGATAGGTAACCTTCTCTTAAAAACCATTTCCTGGCACTAACATAACAATCATCATCATGTGAGAACTGCTGCTCAAAGAGAATATTACAGAAATTTTTCATCCTATTAGATGAGCTACTTTACTAAAGGAACACTTGAATACAACAGAGATGATTTCACTGATTACAAACAGAAAATATATGCCTATGTACTGGCAGCTCTGGCTCCTATCTGAGAACAAAATTACACTGCTGTCAAAAGGCTAGAGAAAAACTCTAACTTTACTGGGCTTCCTGCACAAATACTTTTTTCAGTGTTTCACTACAGAATACCCTCTGGCTGTAGCACAGACATGTCTCCAGCTTCACAAAGAACTTGTTTCCTCTTTGACCCAGCTTATCTTTAGAAGTACAGATAAATCCAACCGCTCTGGTATATCTCCAAATTCTGCAAGTATCCCTAGTTCCCATATCATGATTCTAATTTTACTAAGCACTGACAGCACTTGGCACAAAGATCCTTCCTATTCTCTACAAAACCTCATTATTCAATAAGACTCTTTCCGCTAAGCCTCAGCTAGACTTACACAGAATGACATAAATAGCAGTGCATAGAACGAATTAGGTTCTCAAGACGATTCCATCTGTCCTACCTTCCCTTCCTGCTGGGAAACCTTATAAAAAAACAAATTAAAATAATTCCTATTACATTCATGCAGGAAGCCCAGCAGCAAAATAATACCTACCATGTCCCCACACAGCCAGGTGCTTAGAATTGTAAACTATCATTGATTTGTCCATATGGCTTGCATGAAGGGTGCCAAATATGACATTTAGAAAGGTAAATCAGTCTGACTTATGCTAACAACAGTCCATATTTTTCCATTAACTTTAAGAAATCCTTCTTATCTCTATTTTAAGCCAGTTCACTCTCAAATTTTTACAGCGTCCTTCAGATGACTGTCTCACAGAAAATTATTCTTTCATAGGGCCACCTGAATTTTGTCTGTGCAGATTCACCTGTGCTTTCCTTATTCCATCCCCTACAGTATAAAGACAAAAATTCCTACTCCTCCCTTTTGGTGTGACACTTCTATTTGCTGCTGGTTTTACCAGTTTCTCATTGGTTTTTGCACTTTCCTTTTCAATGGCCTACCTACTGAGCTGCCAGTGTTTTCATCATTTGATGATCAGAGTGACAGCTTTATCTTTAAACATCTCTAACAATTTCTTTAAAATGCAGTTCAGAAATACTTGTAGTCTCTCAGCATAACTCACCTACTTTTTTTTTAAGCTGCTATTAGTATTTTAAATATTTTTCCAACATTTGCTTTTGCCACATGGAAACGTATGTCAGTCCATCTTCTCTCGTTGACTTTCCTCCACCCCGCACCAGGCTATTCTAGTTGTAAAATATAGTTAGGGCCTAATTGTGCCAAAGCATTGTACAAGGTAATGTTTGAAATTGTCTCCCTCATATTGGTGCTGGGAGCTGAAGGGTACTCACCAATCTGGTGTTTGCTGTTTGTGACTGTGCAGATGCAGGACGCTGCAAGAGACACACAGAAAGAATAAAAACCTCGTGTTCTCGAAGACACTCTCATCCTTGCCTGAGTAGCAGAGGAGTGGCAAATACCCTAAGCAAAACACTATGTAAGCAAAGGGTGGTGAGGCACTGGAACAGGTTGCCCAGAGAACTTGTGGATGACCCATCCCTTGAAGTGTTCACGGCCAGGTCGGATGGGGTTTGGAGCAAACTAGTCTAGTAGAAGGTGTCCCTGTCCACAGCATAAGGGTTGGAACTTGATGATCTTTAAGGTCCCTTCCAACCCAAACCATTCTTCGATTCTATGATAACTGAAGTCCAGAGATATAGCTAACCACTTCTACCATCTCAGTTCAGATCTTCCTCATATCCTGCACAAACATATCCTATACACATTCCAAACACAGCCCTAATCCTAACCTCAGATGTGCTCAGCTGTGCAGAACGCATCTGGATATGCAATTTTCAAAAGCATACAGAAAAGAGCTCTGAACTACGCTACGATGACCAAAACTGATATTTTTGTAAGATGAGAGTCACTTAGATAAAAATATTTAATAGCTATCTATTAAGCAGAAACAGATGCTGTCTAGTAGAATTGTTCATAAAACAAAGAGGATTAAAAAAAAGTAATAATCCTGAAATTCCACAAGAAATTTCATTTAAATAGCTCAACAATATTCCAGTTCTTGTGGAGAAACAAAATACTATTTAACATTCTGAAACAGGTGCAGAAACATCACCAGAATATCAGAAAATACCCTGTACTACTGATCTGGCAACAGGTCCACAAGCAAGACCAGTTTAATGACAGAGGCAGGTTCAAAAGGAAACAATTATCATAAGAGTTTAGATTTTTTTTGTCTTCAGTGGTATTCAGGCTGTCTCCTCTTCTCCAATGCCCAAGAGGTGCAACTGGTGTAAGAAAGGCTTCTCAAGAGACCTAACTGTACTACTGACAAGTTCTTCTCTACAGCTGGTCTATACAAAACAGGTCAAGGCCCCTTTATTGCTTACAATTAACTGAAAGAGCTCCAACCCAAATCAACAAGATTACAAAGGAAGAAGCTAAATTGTTCATTTCCCTAGAGGGAGAAATGCTCAGAGAGTCAAACCAAAGGAATTGCACAAGAAACTTGCAGTTCAGTCTGGTGAAACCCAGAAAACAGAATAACTATCTCAGGATAGTTATTCAAGAGAGTCTCTCAAGAGCACTGGTATCAGCATTTCTTTCCCAAGCAGCAATTTTACAATGATTAAAGATGGTCTGTGTGAACAATCAAAACTCAAGACTTCATGAAGGAGGAAAGAAAAACAAAAGAGGTTCAATGTACCCTTTGCAACTGAGTATGGGAGAAGGTATCAAAGATCCAACAATCTGAGATAAAGAAGAAGACAAAACATTTCTGAACAATGGGAAGATCTAAACATCTATTTAGCCATGGAATTTCCATTTAGGTACATAAGAAAAACATGCTATAAAACTTTATCACTGGATTATAAGCCTGTTCCTATTAAACATAGGTAATGCGGACACCTGTCCCAAAAGATAAATTAATCCCACTTCATAACCGTTGCTCTCTCATATGAATCTTTGCACATTTCAACTGGCCAAGCTTTACATCTTTTTGTGTTTTTTTTTTTAAAGCAAAATAAAGTTTAAATCCTCCTTAAAATTCAATGCTTCCCAGCAGCATAATTTTCTGAGACTGTCTTGTATAATTTTTTTCAGATAAAAGATGTCAAATCATGTGTTGGGTCCAGTCCTGTTTAATATCTTTATTGATGATTTAGATGAGGGGATTGAGTCCATCATCAGCAAATTTGCTGATGACACCAAATTGGGAGGGAGTGTCAACCTGCTGGAAGGCAGGAGGGCTCTGCAGAGGGATCTGGATAGACTTGAGAGATGGGCTGATTCCAATGGGATGAAGTTCAATAAAGCCAAGTGCCAGGTCCTGCACTTTGGCCACAACAACCCCATGCAGCGCTACAGGCTGGGCACAGAGTGGCTGGAGAGCAGCCAGGCAGAGAGGGACCTGGGGGTACTAGTTGACAGGAAGCTCAACATGAACCAACAGCGTGCCCAGGTGGCCAAGAAGGCCAATGGGATCTTGTCCTGTATCAAAAATAGCGTGGTCAGCAGGACCAGGGAAGTGATCCTTCCCCTGTACTCTGCATTGGTGAGGCCACACCTTGAGTATTGTGTTCAGTTCTGGGCCCCTCAGTTCAGAAAGGATATTGAGGTGCTGGAGCGGGTCCAGAGAAGAGCAACAAGGCTGGTGAAGGGACTGGAGCATAAGTCCTATGGGGAGAGGCTGAGGGAGCTGGGGTTGTTTAGCCTGGAGAAGAGGAGGCTCAGAGGTGACCTCATCACGGTCTATAACTACCTGAAGGGAAGTTCTAGCCAGGTGGGGGTTGGTCTCTTCTCTCAGGCACTCAGCAATAGGACAAGGGGGCACGGGCTTAAGCTCCGCCAGGGGAAATTTAAGTTGGATATCAGGAGAAAATTCTTTACAGAGAGAGTAATCAGGCATTGGAATGGGCTGCCCAGAGAGGTGGTGGATTCACCATCCCTGGAGATTTTTAAACGCAGATTGGACGTGGCACTGAGTGCCATGATCTAGTAAATGGACTGGATTTGGACCAAGGGTTGGACTCGATGATCTCAGAGGTCTTTTCCAACCCGATTGATTCTATGATTCTATGATCAGGATCTGATCACATTACTCTTAGAGAGAAGGGTACTTTTTCTGGAATGGTTCCTAATTTATCTGATGTATCTTTAGTCTGCTACAAAGAGCACCTTTATGGTCAGAGGGATCTGTATTTAAAACACTATCTATTAAATTGGCCTTAGAAGTTTTGGACTCAGACACACATCCTATAGATACTCAAATCCCATCTTACCACCTATTCATCTCTCTCCCAGTGACTAAAGACTGAGTTTTACAAGAAAAAAAATATTGCAACTTCTGTGAGTTTTCCCTATACCAAAATGGACAGCGTATTGGTACACTGTCACTGAACAAAAATGACCTATCGTTTCCTAACTGAACTTGAGCTACTCAGCCATGTTCATGTCTCTCACAGCAGCTGTCAGGGTGCACCATTTGCCTATTTGCCTGAGGAGAAATGTGTTTAAAGTCCAAGCGACGTACCAGATCTCCCTGCCTTTTGTGAACGCTCCTTTCCACAGATATTTATGGAATCCATTTCATAGCCAAAAACAGATAGAAAACAACTGCCATTCAGCATTACAGTGTTAAGAAAGCACTACCTCAGCAGAAAAGGCAATGGGCAGTCACAGCAAGCCACATGAGGCCTCAGTCCAATGATCCATGGGAGAGGAAGTAAGAGATTCCAAGACAGAATCGGAAAAAAGTCTTAAATTTCAAATGCAAGAAGCTTTTTCTGCCTAGAAGGAGGTCTTGGAGACATTCATAAAGCTCTAGGGTTCTGGAAGCTTGTTACCCACAACAAAATGAAAGTGGTTGAATAACTCAGGTGCATAACTGAGGTGCATCCCCTGAGTCTCTTAGAATCATAGAATGGTTTGGATTGGAAGGCACCTTAAAGATCATCTAGCTCCAACATCCCTGCCATGGGCAGGGAACCTTCCACTAGACCAGGGTGCTCAGAGTCCCATCCAGCCTGGTCTTGAACACCTCCAGGGATGGTGATTCCATAAACTCTCTGGACATGTTCCAGTGCCTCACCACTCACACAGTTAAAAATTTCTTCTTCTGTAGTTATGCTAGAAATCCAGATCATCTCCCTCACTGCCTCTCTCACCAGTGAGTCAACTTCAATAAGAATGACTTTTTGCTATCCTTCTCATCTCTGGCTTGTTAAAATCACTTACCTGCATCTTCTGGTATGGATTTCTCCTGACAGATTCAGCTGAATGATAAATGGCCCGGCTTGACCGCTGGCCTGGATCCTGGCACACGAAGCCTAGGGGCATCAGGAGCCACATGAGAACTTTAAGACAGGCAAACCCTGACATATAAACACCTAGCATTCCTGTTCACAGTCTCAGTCTGTACGCAACCTTCTTGTCCCTGCCCAAGAACCAATAAGGATGCTTTCCATTTTCATACCTTGCTTTGTTTAATCCCAAACTGTACCTTCCATTACATTTTTTTAATAAAAACTGTAGCTTGCTTCAAAACCAAGTACTTAAAAAGAGTAGTGTCTTCAAATATGAAACTGGGGACTCTTAATACCATCTAAGCATAACAATCAGACAGATTATCCTGAAGTTGAAGTGTACACATTGCTAAATACAACTGCTTTCCTTAACTGGAGTTTGCCTCCATTATAGTCATCTAATAACATGCAGCTCCTAAACCTACCTTTTATTGGTCTTAAATAGGGGAAGGATAGAAGGAGCTTTTTGCTACACTTACCTACAAGAGTGAACATATCTGAGAGCATGCTAGCTTTGATCTTCAGGTCCAAAGGAGCATCACTGTCCCCACATGCAATAGAGGACAAGAGAAATTATTTGTCTGGCATTAAATGAGAAGAATGCATCAGCATCCAGTGTATCTCCCAATACAGTTTCTTTGTACTGATTCTTAACAGAGGCGAAAACAACATTGGAAGAAAACTAGGCAATTTTCACATGTATAGGTAAAGATCAAACAGCAACAGATTAATCTGTTTATCCTTTTTCCACAGCATTTAGTGTCCTAATGCAGACATGTACAGCTTTGTTTTAGCTCTGCTTAGCTAAAGACATTTTCTATGCTACATTTCATGAAGTAGATAAAAGTTACTGTCATAGAATTCTTAAAAACCACAATTAACTACACCTCTTTCACAAAAAAATCATAATTGAGAAACCTACAAAAATAAATCCCCAATTTTCATTAGAGCATGAGGGTCAGCATAAGAGTCAAAACAACACTCACTCTTTAGATTTTAGCTAAAGAGAGTACTAGGCCAAACATTTGAGCCTGACCATTCATCTACATACTCAACATAATGACTGAACTCTGCTTGGACTCCATAACCTTAAAGCTTCTATCAGTCAAGCAGATTGAAATCCCACACAACAGTCTGCAAAGTTTCAAAATTCATCTATGATGGGAGATTATGATGACGGACTGTGAAAAGGAAATAATTAAAAAGAAAATGGAATCCCAACTGGGCTCTTTCAAAACCTATTGTTGCAACAAGTTTGTTTATGCAAAGGAAAAAGCAAAGGATTATCCTCTCTGCCAATCAGCAGTGGAACAAATAACCTGCAGGTATCATGAAATCATGCCCTCCTAGTTTCAAGGACAATCATCTCCAGCAGCAGTCCTCATATGAAACTGGAAATCACTTACCAGGCCAATGATGGGGACAGGTTCACTTCCAACAGCCAGGGTTTGAGCGTGTCATCAATAAGGACATCAAAACCATACAGCTCTGAAAACACAGCAGACACTCTTAAGTTCATCTTACTACATCTTTAAGCGTTCAGGTAAGGTCCAACACTAGTCTCTATCAAGTCATTCCTATCTAAGTCGTTTATGTTAAATCCAGTGAACTCTCTAGAGCTGAACAAATAACATTCCACAAGGGGGAATTTTCACTTCCTCAGAATCAAGATTAAATATATTTTTTCTGTGGGGGAGAGAAGGGAACAAAAAAAGGAGTCTTAGGGAAGTATTATATAGGAAAATAAACTATTTGCTGCCCACAAACTGTAGTTAATGCAAAACTCTACTACTTGTTTTCACATAGAATTGACACACACAGCAGGTTCAATCTACTGGATCCTGGAAACAACAGAACTTCATTCTCCTCTTCACTTTTTAATCCCTATATTCATTGTTCCAGTCAGCTAGAGAAAATTTGCTTCTTTCAAGCATCAGCTTCTTTCCTATTATTCCTGTATATTTTCTGCAATATCCTCATGGGATTACAGACTTCTAGGCAGCTCCATCTACATGGACAACCTCCCATGGACAACCCGTTAGCTTATTGACAGCTTGCCACTTTGCAGTAAACCATGATAGAAATATTTTTTCTTTAGTTTCTAAAACATTCTACAACATATTATATCTGCTAGATGTGTTCTGCTCTACACAGGTCAGACTGAAGCCAGCTTCCCATTCCAAGACTGATTTTACTATTTCACTCTATACACACTTTCTCTCTAGTTTGGAAAAAGTCACAAGAAGGATGCTATGTAAAAATGAATATAAATCAGAAGTTGCCATTTATGCAATTCCCCCTTCCAGCATTAAGAAATACAGTTAATTATCACCAGGGCAACTTAGACAATTTTTATTTTTTTTTCAAAACACCACAGAAAAGGGTACTGGCAGAATAGGAGGATTTCCATGGAATTAACCAGTTCCCTAGTGATTGAAGTAAAAGCAGGAAGTTTCTTTGCCATACTGCTTTCCTTGAATTCTGGCCTTGGCCTTTAGTTGCCTGCCTGACATTGATTCTGGCTCTGGGGAGTTGGACTGCTTGACAAGATCTTCATATGCAGACAGCTGTGCAAAAGCTCATGTATCTTATAACGGGAAGTTAATGAGCTGTGGGGGGGACTTGGAAGGGGGAGAAATGGCAGCAGAGTGAGCATTGCGTGCTCACTTTTCTAGACTCTGTAGCCAGATACTGAGTGGGAAGCAAAACAGCAGAGAGTTAAAGAGCTGGTTCACTCCAAAGAAATGAGGCTGAATCTACATTTGGCTCTCTTGCTCCCCAGACAGGAAAGGCTGCAGTAGAGGGGAAAGGAGGAGGTGGGGACTGTAAGTGTAAACATTAGCAAAGCACTTTGACCAGGGGAGGCTTCTGATGACTTTAATACATTATTTCAAAATATAATCTCAGATTTGATGAAGACCCATGACTCTTAATGGCATAGAAAACTCCGGTGGAGAGGCAGCTCATGGCCAAGGCAGAGAAGCCAATGAGTGGGCCTGTAGCAGCTGCTGATCCACAACCTCCCAGCCCCAGTCAGGAAGCAGCACATTTTGTTTTGACTAGCTGTTGCTTCTTTTGCTGCTGGCCATTCCCTCCCTTTGCCCCTCAAAGGACCTTTGCTACATTTTGGCTCCTCTGACCTGGTCCTCCTCTCCCACACAATTCTCTTGCAATCACTTGCTCTTTAAACTTCCATCTTTCCCACCCCGTTACTCACTCTGTCCACTTTTACAAATACACACGGGAAACCTCTTGACCTCAGCTAGCCCTAACCACACTGCTGGAGCTTTACATTCCTTTCCCTTGTGTCTGCCTTGTTTATTAGGACAGTAAGCTCTTCCGGGTATCCCTGTTGACTCAATTCATCAGACATCTAATGTCATCTGCAATGCCTCACGGTCTCCTAAGAAGACTCCACTGACGCTTCATAATGCCCCAAGTTTTATGTATTCTGGGTCAAATCTACGACCCCTAGACAGATGTCTCTGATACCTCGTGGCATCAGGAGCTATGCAATATCCATGTTCTGGCAACAGAATCAAGCCTCACAGGTTCCACATAGGACTTAACACAAAGATGTGCTCAACAGTCAGAAGTTTACCCAGAAATATGTCCTTGGCCCTCTTCCACATTTAGAAAAGACACTACCTAGATTAAACACAGAAGTAAGTAGTAGTATCCTTTCCACTGTGAAACTCCACTATCATTTGTAAAAATAAATACATAGGCAGAACAAGAAGCATAGCAAGATCGAAAGTATATCCTCTGCAATTACCAACTTAAGCAGGACTGCCATTTCCCTCTGCAGAGAGAGTAAAGAAAACAGAATGACTGAAAAACACGCTTCATTCTGTGGCAACAGTACGTTCATGACATCCCACCTACCCACCAAGTGCCACTGTTGTTTGTAAGAGAAGAACAAAAGAAACTAAGATACCAAGTTTCCATAGTGCCTTCCCTTGCTCCCCTCCTCTCGCTACTACAATCCACAAAATGTGTTTCACCGCTGCAGTTTGCTAAAGAGACTGGAATTATATCAGGAGGTACCAGCCGTTGCCAAGACACAGCAGGAACAGCCTGTCTCTCCCCTCTAATCCCCATAGAGAAGGCATTGCTGACTGAGCTTCCCATCCTCCCAAAAGAAGGCCTATCTTCAGACTAAAGTCTAACAGCAACAGTTCAGCCAGAGATTTTTTTGCAAATGACATAATTTAAGACTAAGAGGAAGGCTAGAGATACAGTCTCAAGCTTTTTGGTTCTGATAAACTTCCATGTATTCCAAGTTTAGTTTATAATCCTGTCCAAGACTACACTGGTACTCCCTTTTCACAAAATTAATGGCCAGTCTTCGCGAGCGAAGATTTGGGAAAGGTCATTAACCCTTCGAGCCTGCGCAGTGGATTTTTTAGGTGAGACACAGCTTGCGCTGAACTGAGCCCACCCTTTAATCCTGAGATTCATCTGCCAGGGCCAAGCAAACTTGGACAGTGGCAGTGAGGGTCTCAGAACGTAGGTTTGTTTAGAGTGACCTTCTCTTAGATGGATTGCCTCACAGGGCTAACGAGCTCCATCTGCCCGGGGGGCTGGGAATCGAACCCGGGTCGCAGCAGTGAGAGTCCTGCACCCTAACCACTAGACCACTAGAGGCCCCCTTTCACAAAATATCCCCAAAGAATTTGTTATTCTCTGTAAGTCTAGAAAGTAAGTCACAAGTGATAGCATGGTAGCGCAAACAAGTTTTTCATGATTTTGCATAGAATGAATAAACTCAATTCCTAGGGGGTCAGTGTAATTCTGGTCTTTGTTTGCAGCTTCTTCCCTAGGGAAAAAAGCAGCTTTACTGCAAAGTACATATTTGGCAACTGAATGGAGACAACCTGAAGTTATGAAAGGACACAAACAGAGTGAAAAAAAATTTGCGGAGTATGCAACTACTCTGGTTTTATAATAAAAACCTGATCATCTGATTTTATGCAGGAGCATATTTACAGACATTACTAATGCAAGGAATTACACCTTTGCCACTGAAATTCAAGTCTTCCCTTATTCCTCCCTACTTTTTCTGTCCTTATATAAAGGTATCCTGCAAACTGTGCTTACAGACAACATGAATAAAGGTGTTAGAAAAAAAAAGAAGTTGTTAAAAAAGTTAACTGTGCTACAATTTCATCCAAAGCAGTAACCAGTCAGTGTCAGGGAGAAAGACTTCCAAGAGTATGGCGATGGCAACAGTGCTTTGCTGAACATGCTGCCAAACTTAACGCTACAGAGACTACACAGTATTTTGTAAATGAACTTCATCCCTTTACCTAGTCATGGTACAGTACCAGTTTCAACTCAGTTACAGGGACATGAACAAATCTACATGTTGGGGGCTATTACAGTCAGGTCCCAAATCATTCCTGTTACTCTTACAGAAGACCAGCATAATAATTTATGCTTTGATAAGCAAAAGGTCACACTGTCATATCAAGTAATAAAATAGAAGACTCTACTCTGTACACCAAAGGCTTTGGGGAAAGTACTGGTGCTGTAGTCTTGTGCAGGAATTTGCCTTGCTCTCTAACTAATACAGCTTAATTCCCTTTTTTACAGAGCTTTATTTTAACAGATAAAGGTTGTATCTCTCAGCATTATTATAGGAAAGGACCCAGCAAGAGGGAATAAAATTATTCCACATGTTGGTGTTCTTTTCTGCACCATGAGATGCGGCCTGCATCTGCCAGAGTTCGTCATACTAGTTTGGCCAAATGTGTGATTGCCTTACTTTTCTGCACTATAGGTAAACAGAGAAAGCCCATCACTCATAAGATGACTTTTCAACTTTCTTTCCTTCTACTGAAGCCTGAAGGACAATTCCAAATAAAAGTCTTCAGAAGTGGATTAACTTCATAGTACATACATAGAGACATAGAATAATTCAAGTTGGAAGGAACCCATAAGGATCACTGAGTCCAACTCCCTGCTCCTTGCAGGATTACCTTAGACTAAACCACATGACTAGGAGCATCATCCAGACACTCCTTGAACTTTGACAGGGTTTGTGCTGTGATCACTTCCCTAAGGAGCCTGTTCCAGTGACTGACCACCCTCTCAGTGAAGAGCCTTTTCCTAACGTCCCATGTGAACTTCCCCTGACACAGTTTCATTTCATTTTTTTATGTCCTATCACTGGTCACCAGAGGGCAGATCAACACCTCCCTCTCCACTGCCCTCCTTAAGAAAGCTGTAGACTGCAATGAGGTCACCCCTCAGACTTTCCCAAGATCAACAAGCCAAATGACCTCAGCCACTCCTTGTCAGTCTTGTCCTCAAGACCTGTAGTGGGTTTGTAACCCTCTCTGGGAGGGAAACAGAACTAGGATAGGTCACCTGATGTCTATTTTACCAATAAGCTATTCCATACCATGTTACGTCAGCTCAGATATAAAGAGACGAGAAGGAAACAACTTCCTTCTTCTCTTCTGGGACGGTTGCGTGGGATAGAT